CAGGTGCCGAAGGGGGGGGGGGCGCAGCAGCGTGAGGAGACCACCCCACGCCTGCCCAGGGCAGCTGCTGCACAGCAGGGCGGCTGCGTGCACGGGGCGGCCATTTCAAGCCCAAAATCGAATCGATAAGCCGGATCATCGATCGAAATGAGTCGGATCGGCGGAAATCGGCAGCCGAGTCGGGAGAATGCGAATCGGCGAAAATCGGCAGGCTGGTAGGCCTCCACTGAGGAATCGGAACTCAAGTCGGCATCCGAAGTCGAACCAACTTGGAACCGCAAGCCAACGAAATCGAATCAAACCGAACCAGACGAATCGAAACGAGCCCTGCCCCTTGCCCCCTGGTCCCGCCGAGGACGAGCGCTGGCCCGAGAGAAACACATCGAGTGCGGGACATGTGGGGGCCACGAGCTGGATGCACATGCGGAAGCCCAGCGTGCCGGGCCACAGGAGGGCCCAGCGCTGGAAAGGCATCTGGTCACATGCCTGCACACCCCTCGCCCAGCCTGGCCGCGTCACGTGTGTCCAGAGTCCCGGCATGACTGCGGGAGTACGATTGCGGGAAGAGGTTATCCCAGACAAACGCGAGTACGGGCGCGAGTGAGAATGCGGGTCAAGAGCTCGACTGCGAGTGCACCAAGGAGCAGCACAGGCCGCCAACGGAGTAAGGTCAGGATCCGAAGCGGGAGCCGGGGCGGGAGCGGAGTTTGAAACGGCAGGCAGAAGGCAGTGCAAGGCAGGCGGGCATATGCATTTGAGCAGGAGCACGAGTACGAGCAGGAGCAGGGATCCGATGCAAGCTCGACAAGGAATACCGAGAACGAATGCACGTGAGAAAGTGTGGAAACTGTAAGCATAACAGTACGAGTATGAGTACGAAGTCCACTTAACATAGGCATGAGAGCGAGTACACACAACACATGAGGACTGCGTACGATTGAAGGCGATGAAACAAGGCTGAATACGAGCGTAACCGAGTATACGCACGAACGGATCAAGGGCACATCGTTGATACGGCACTCCTCAAAGAGGTGCTCGCTTTCTTGACTCGAGATGCTATTATGCCCTAGTGATTTAATTCAGGTGGCCACTGCTGTTGGTCATCCGCCACCGTGCCCCCTGGCACGCTGAGGCGTGCTAGAATGCCAAGTGCTGCCTGGTAGGGTTGTTGTAATCTTCTAAGGGCCCCCCCCTCTGGGTCGCACCTCGCCGCGCGCACCGGCCATACTCCTGGGGGGCCCCTGGGCGGCCATGGCGCCTCCCTGGGGCTCTCCAAGGCTTCCATGACGGCTAAGGGGGCCCTCCAGACGGTCCAAGAGGGCCCCGAGTCGCCGAACGATCACTAGAAGACGCCCAACATGGCCTCAAGATGGCGCAAGAGGCTTCCAAGGCGCCCCAAGACGCCTCCAAGAGGTATCCCAAAAGGGCCCCCAAAGACAACTCATTGACTTCCCTTTAAAATTGGGAAGATTTGGGCGTTCTCGCCTTTTCGGCTTTCCGACGCTCCAAGACGGCCCAAGAGGCCCCAACAACAACTCCAAAACGCCACGAGAGGCCTCCAAGAGGGCCCCAAGAAAGCCTAAGAGAGCCTCAAGACGGCCCAAGAGGCGCTCAATACGGCCCAAGAGGGACCCAAGACGGCCCCAAAAGGGGCCCCAGAGAGGGAACACGAATCGAAAATCCGAGCCGTCCGCCCCAAGGGGCCCCAGGAAGCCCAAGGTCCCCAAAGGGTCCCCAAGAGGGCCCAAAACGGGGGCCCAAGAGGCCTCAAAACTGCCTCCAAGAGGCCCCCGAGAAGCCTCCCACGAGATCCCAAAATAACATCCACTGGGCTTAACCCACAACCCGAGCACGGAAGCAGGACTTGCTGCGGGCAGCTGGATATTGAATTCCTAACCTGGTCGGTGCAGCTGCTGGATATAACGTGTATGCTGTGCTTGCTGACATTGCCCGCGTGCGCATGTCTGCCCTTGATCCCCATGACTGGGGTCATGACACTGTGCAGGATGATGTTGACGTTGCTACTGATTTTGCGGATGTGATAGCCCACAAGGGTGTGACCCTTGGTATTGATCCAGTGGTAGAGGTTCGTCGAGCAAGCATCAGCCTGGGCTTCCTAATTGAAGCAGACGTCACGAAGATCCACCTTATGTCCTCCTCCTGTTCCCAGACTTCAGCCCCTTCTCCTCCTGCTCCTTCTTCTCGTTTCCCTCGAGGAGAGCGAGGGGACAGCAAGGAGACTCGGCGCCTCCTCCTCCTCCTCCTTCTACTATTCCCTCATCCTCCTCCTTCTCGTCCTCCTCCTCTCCTCTTCCTCCTCCTCCTCCTCCTCGGTATCCTCCTCCTCCTCATCATCATCATCACCAGTATCATCAGCATCATCATCAACATCATCATCCGCATCATCACCAGCACTCTTATTCTCAGCATCATCATGATCAGCAATAGCACAATCAGCCTACTCATCTCAATGAAACCATGTCCATCACAATCACCGTCGTCATCGTCGTCATCGTCACCACCATGCATCAGCATCAGCATCATCATCAGCAGCAGCATCATCATCACCATCATCACCATTGTCACCATCATAATCAGTCAGCAGCACCAGCAGCATCATCAGCATCATTCTCAGCAGCAGCATTAGCAGCATCAGCATCATCATCACTCACCACCATAAGCAGTATTAGCATCATCATCGGCAGCATCATCAACACCATCATCATTAGCATCATCATCACCATCAGAATCAGCATCATCCCCATCAGCATCATCAGTATCGTATTCATCGTCATCATCATCATCAGCAGCATCATCATCATCTTCATTATCATATTCATATTGACCACCATCGTCAACATCGTCATCATCATCGTCATCATAATCAACTCTATCAGCATCACCATCATCAACATCATCATCCACTTAGGCGTCGGCCCCTCCTCCTCCGCTTCCGCCCCTCCTACTCCGTCTGAGCCTCAACCTCCTCCTCATCAGCAGTATCATGATCATCCTGCTCCTCCTCCCCATCATCATCATCAGACATCCTTACCAAGTATCAGCATCAGCACCAGCATCATCATCATCATCATCATCATCATCAGCAGCAGCCTCATCAAAGCCACCAACACCACCACCATCATCATCATCATCATCATCATCATCATCATCATCATCATCATCGTCATCATCATCATCATCATCATCATCATCGTCGTCGTCGTCGTCGTCGTCGCAATCTTCTCGTCATCGGCAACATCATGATCATCATCACCAGCACCAGCACCATCATCACAATCACCACCACCATCATCAGCATCATCGTCAGAATCATCATCACCATCATCATCAGCATCAGCATCATCATAATCATCGTCATCATCATCATCAGCAACATCATCGTCAGCATCATCCTCATCATCATCAACATCAGCATCAGCCTCAGCATCATCATCAGCAGCTGCATCAGCACCAGCGTCATCATCAATATCATCATCATCAGCATCATCAGCATCATCACCAGCATCATCAGCATCATCAGCATGGGCATGAGCATGAGCATGAGCATGATCATCATCATCATCATCATCATCATCAGCATCATCGTCATCATCATCAGCAACAGCATCATCATCATCAGCAGCATCAGCATCAGCATCAGCATCAGCATCATCATCATCATCATCATCACCATCACCATCATCATCATCATCATCATCATCATCAGCATCAGCATCATCATCATCATCACCATCATTACCATCATTTGGTTCCTCCTCCTCCTCCCTCGAGGAGGGCGAGGGAAAGCACGAAAAGGGCCCGCGCCTGGGGAGCCTCCAGGAACTGTACTGGGTTGCCCCTCTCGTCCACGTACTGGACGGCGGGTGGAGCGGCGTACGTGACCGTCTGCTGCTGGTCAGGAGGGAAACCGGGCGCCGAAGACATCCTGCTGCTGCTTCCCTTCTCCCTCTCCCCTCCTTCCCTCCACCCCATCCCATCCACCTCCTCGTCCCCCCGCTCGTCTCCCTCCTCCACATCTACACGAATCCTCCTTTTCGACGTTGCGCTAACTCAACGTCAGAACCAAAGCGTTTGGATGCAAAAAAACGATTTAGGCGGAGTGAAAAAAAAACGAATGAAACCTGGCTGGCGCAGCATAGAAGGTCAAGGAATGAGAACAGGTATAGAAAGAGGGCCCTCAGGGGCACAGAGTATGCGCCAACCAGGCGATGTGAGAGGAGGAACTAAGTAACCACAGAGAAGGGAGGCACCGAAAGAGGGAGAGGTGAAATACGCGTGCAAGCCAGTTGGCCATGCAGCAGCAGTTAGGTCAGATGTCCCTCCATCCCCTTCCATCTCCAAACTACCCACTTCCAAGACCCCCTAAATCGAGGTTACCGTCTGCCGAAAGCTTGGCGGTGAGTAGCGAAACAACTAACAGCACAGGCGACGCCAGAGGCAAGCGAGACATGAGCATGCTTAGGTTGGCTCCTTTAGACAAGCCAGTTAATAACTTGATATTAAGACCAGCGGCGCGAAATGAAAGAAAAACGTCAAATATACAACTGCTATGTTCATCCCCCAACCAATACCCGATCCGCCACGTACCCACTCCCCCGTCCCTCAAGTAGAAGCGCACGTAGCGGGAGCTAGGCGAGTGGAAGGCAAAATGTACAGAAACAGAGCAGGCGACTGTCGAGCAGAGGCGATCACATAAAAAAGGAAGCATGGTCGAGTGGAGTGTAGGATAAGCTGATGTCGGGAGACCACCGTGGGAGTGCATGCCCTTCCCAACGTGCCAAAATGACAACGATCAGCGAACGCAGTAAGAGGAAAAGACAATGCTCAGAGGATCAAAGATAAATGTGATGGGTCCCCGGCTATCCCGATGTGCTCACCGGGCCCCCGGCTTGTGCGGGGGGGGAGAGCTGGATGCGGGGGGGGGTCGCAGGGAGGGAGAGGAGGACGAAGGGGCAGGGGGAGGAGGGAAACCAAGGAGGAGGAGGGAGGAGGAAGGGAGGAGGAGGGAGAAGAGAAGGAAAAGGAAAGGAGGGAGGGGAGGAAAGGAGGAGGGAAAAAGAGAGGGAGGGAGGACGACGAAGAGGGGAGCTTGGAGCACGGGGCAGGGAGCAGGGAGGAGCAAGTGCTGCTTCCAGGGGAGGGAGGACGAAGGAGGGAGGAGGGAGGAAGAGGAGGACAGGGAGGAGGAGGAGGAGGAGGAGGAGGAGAAGGACAGGTAGGAGGAGGAGGAGGACGAAAGACAAGGACCAAAGAGGAAGGAGAGAGGGAGTAGGGCTTCCGATCCCTCTCTCCGCTTTGCTCGCGCGCCGTCCTCGTCTCTGTCTTCTGTCCCTCGTCTTACCCTCCCCGCTTCTGCGCGCCGTTCCCCCGCTCGTCCGTCGCGCGTGCTGCCGCGCTGTGGCCCCAGTGCGCTGGGTCCAGCCGAGGTGCTGCGCAATCGGCTGCCGATCAGCAAGAAGCGATGCTCCAGACGGCCCCCCTGCCTGTCTTAAAAGAGAAAGCAAAGACTTGTAAGCTCCTGAGGGGGGGAGGGGGGCGCATTTTTCCCGCACTCAAGGGGGCCCTGGCAGTCCTGGCGAAGCAGTTTGAAGGCGGACGTCAGATCCATTTTGGCGGCGCGCTTGCTTCGGCAAGCAGCTTACCGCGAGGTCTTGAGCTGATTGAGCGTCGGTTTCACCATCGCAATGCGTTACCTCCTCGACTGTCAGGTTGTATGTTGCTGCTGCTCGAGCGAGGCTCTCTGCTTGTAGCCTGACTGAAGGATGCGCGACCGTCCAAGACCCCCTTGTGCCCACAGACAGTGGCATACCGTGGAGGCGTTGACCTAAGGAACCCTAAATAAGGAACGAGGCCCCTTTCTTTCCATAAGTTAAGCTTCGACTTCCCATCGAAAATGTAAGGAAAACCTCAGGCCAGGTGTGGAACAATTAAGGAACACCGAGCCCCTCCCCAACGAAAGGAGTTCCTTCTTCAGCGCCCCGACTGTAAGCATGAACTGCTGGAGATCCGCGCGGAGCTCTTGGATCGGCACCAGAGCCCCCCCCATCCCCCCCTGGCGCGCGGAGCGCGCTGGGGGGCGGCGCCCGAGGCGCCGCCCGGGGAGCTCGAGCGCCGACCCGAGAAATCCGAGCGGACCTCTGTTCGGGTCGGGCGAAAGGGGGGGATAGCAAAGGGGGGGTTTGAGAATCAGCTCACGTAGCTGATTTTCCCGGCGCCTCCCGGCGCCGGAGGTGGCCATGTATCGAGGAATGGGCCCCTCGGTGAGGCCGAAGCCAGCTGCATGCATCAAATTTCGTAATCCCCCCTTTCCCGATCCCCCCCTTTCGCCCGGCCCGATCTGTGAGGAGGCAGCGGGACCTTCTGGAGCATCGTTTCTTCATGATCGGCGGCCCGCCCCCCCTCGCCCCCTCGCCCCAACCTGGACCTCTGGCCTCTGGTCAGAGCCCCAGCCCTTTGGCCCTTTCTGAACTCAGCTTGTCTCCTGGCCTTGGCCCCACTCGCCCCGACCCTGGCCTTCGCCCCAGCCCTCCTCGCCCCGGACCGTGCATTTTCGTGGTTCGAACCCTGACCTCTGGCCGTCGTGTGGTTCCCCGACCTCGGAAGCCAACCAGACGCCCAAGGGCCTCCTCCCGCGGGCGCCCCTCCCAAAGAGCTGCGCGGCAGGCCCCGGCTCCCCAGAGGGCCGCCCAGAGGAGGCGCAGGGCCTCAGAGCTCCCCTCGCCCTGCCCTGAGATCCTGGCGTGGGGGCGTCCTCGCCCAGTGTCGGGCCCGGTAAATGGCGCAGTCTGGGGCTCTGGTCGTGTTTCTTGTTGCATGCGATGCTGCACTTGTTGTTGCAGCGTCGAATCTCAGGGCTGGGTACAAGACCGCGATACGACGCCTGCGGTGTCAATGAGGGGCGACACAGGCTGCCTGCTACCGGCGGCGGAGCTGAACGGGACACACAGTGGGCTAACGAACGTCATGAGGATCGCCGAACTTCCAAGAGGGCGGCGAGAACCTGGCAAGGTCCGTGCCCGCTCGGCAGCCGATGGGCTCAGATGTCGAGTGTGAAGGGGCCCAAGGACACACAAATAAATACACACGAATCAAACGAATCCCCATATTTCCCAATATTTTCTGGGTTTTGTCTTCCCCCCACTTCCCATAGTTTCCCATATTTTCTGGGGAGTGGACGATTCAATGTGTCTGTGTGTTTCTTCCCCTCCTGACAACCTCCAGCTGGCCCGGGCAGCCACGCTGGCCCAGGCCTCAGGGCGACGACGGCCACACGCCGACACCGATCCCTGCCGGGCCACACCCCATACCCTGGCCAGGACGGCGCATGCACCGAGCCTGGGCCAGGGATGGACCTGTCGGCTACACGCAAGAGAATTACCCTGGGCAAGAGCAACCCTTGGTGCGCGGCCTTCTGGGGGCCGCGCGGGGACCAGACACGAGCGCGCAGACGCTACTGTCGCGCCGCATTCGGCGATCGGGGGACCCCAATGGGCCCGCAGCAAAGGTCACTCCGGCGAAGGGTCACTCTTACGTCCAAACGAACCTGGCCATGGTCGGTGTCGGTGATACTTGTCGTCGGCCTGTTGAGGCGAGCCGGGACTACCTCCGAGGGCTCTGTGTGCAGCTCCAGACGTTGGCATCCTTCTTTCAACTCTGTGCCCCAGAACGGCGGGCCAAAACCTCCCAAGTCGTCATCTCTTTCAATGCAAAACCTCAGAGAATCCTCACACCTTTTCCCAGGGACTCGCTTTTTTCCGACGCTAGTTAGCTCTTGATGGACCCCCTGGACGCTCCCTCCCCCCCCACACCAAAAAAACAAATGCGCAGCCGTCTCGATGTTGTCGAGCCGCTGGACCCTGACACCCGACGTTGCGACAAGGTGGAAAGAGCGCTTTTTGGCGCCGCTGGAAGGGGGGAGGGGGGGGTCCAGAAGCCCTCCCTCCCTCCCCCCCGAATAATCATTCGGGGGGGTCCAAAAGCTCCCCCGAAAAAAGATTGGGGGGGTCCGAACCCCGCAACCCTGGCGCCGCCAGAAGACGACGACGACGATGACGACGCCGACGACGCCGACGACGACGACGACGTCGCCGCCAGCAAACGACGACGACGACGACGACGACGACGACGACGGCGACAACGTCGCCGCCAGCAAACGACGAGGAGGACCGCGACGACGACGACGCTGACGACGCTGACGACGATAACGACAACGATGATGAGGATAACATTGACGATAGTCAGTCCCCCTGGGGCACGCAAAGCTAGTCTGGCAATGATGACGGAGATGGTGATGGTGATGGTGATGGTTCTGATGATGATGGTGATGATGATGATGATACTGATGATGACGATGATTATGACGACGATTACGACGGTCATAGTGATGGTAATGATGATGGTGATGGTGATGGCGATGGTGATGGTGATGGTGGTGATGCTGATATTGTTGATGCTGCTCATGGTGATGGTGATGGTGATGTTGATGACGGTGATGGTGATGGTGACGGTGATGGTGATGGTGATGTTGATGACGGTGATGGTGATGATGATGATGATGACGACGACGGTGATGATTTGCATACGGCCTTCGTCGTCGTCCGTCGTCGTCGTCCACATCAGGATCCGCCCGCCCGACCCGACCCGCCCGTCAGGGTCCGCCCGCCCGACCCGACCAACCCGTCAATTAGGGTCCGTCCTCCGACCCAACCCGCCCGTTCGGGTCCGCCAGCCCGACCCGCCCCGCCCGTTAGCGTTCGCCTTCCCGACCCGACCCGCCCGTTGGGGCTCGCGCGTGCTAACTCGATGACGGGTCATGACTGAATGTCCCGCCCGCCCGACACGACCTGCCCGTCAGCGTCCGCCCGCCCGCCCCCCGCCCGTCAGGGACCGCCCGCCCGCCCCCCCCCCCCGCCCGTCAGGGTCCGCCCGCCCGACCCGACCTGTCAGTTGGGATCCGCCCGCACGACACGACCCGCCCGTGAGGGTTCGCCCGCCCGCGGGGGTTCGCCCGCCTGGTGGTGATGGCGATGAGTGAAGGTGATGGTGTTGATACCGAGGACGGTGATGTTGATGATGCCAGAGACGCGGATGGCGATGACGCTGCCGATGATAATGATGATGATGGTGATGATGATGATGATGATGATGATGATGAAAATGATGATGATGATGGTGATGGTGATGGTGATGGTGATGGTGATGGTGATGGTGATGGTGATGGTGATGGTGATGGTAATGGTGATGGTGATAATGATGATGATGATGATGATGATGATGGTGATGATGTTGGTAATGATGATGGTGATGATGATGATAACGTTGATGTTAATGATGATGACGACGACGATCATGATGAGGATGATGATGGTGATGAGGATAGGCAGGATGGTGACGACGACGATGAGGATGATGGTGGTGATGATCGCGATAATGATAATGATGATGGTGATGATGATGCTGAAGATGGTGATACTGATGATGATGATGATGATGATAATGAGGAGGAGGAGGATGGTGGTGATGATAATGATGGTGGTTGTGCGAAGGAGAAGGAGGATGCGGATGAGGGTGAAGAAAAAACGACGACGACGATGCGAATGACGATGACGATGACGATGACGATGATGATGGCGATGATGATGGCGATGATGATGATGATGATGATGATGATGATGATGATGATGATGATGATGATGATGTGGACGAGGATGATTGAGGACGACGATGATGAGGGTTACGATGAAGATGACGATGCTCATAATGATGAGGATGGTGATGATATTGAGGATGATGATGACGATGATGCTGTTGAGGATGGGGATGGGGATGGAAAGGAGGAGTATCATGATGATGATGATGATGATGATGACGATGATGACTGAGAGGATCGGGAATAATGATGAGAAGGACAACGATGATGATGATAACCATGGCGATGATGATATTGATGGTGATGGTGATGATAACGATGACGATGAGA